CAGCATGTACAAAAAACAAAAACATAGTACATACAGTATGGTTTCTTTTTGTTAAAAAAAAGTAAATACCCATTAAAAAGAACTTATAAAGATATTCACTAATGTGTTAATAATTATCTCTGGGTGGAGGCATCAGAAATGTTATTTATCATTTATGCATTCCTAAATTTTCCAAATTTCCTACAGTTATTATATCCTAATTAATAATTAGGAAAATACAGGATGTTTACAAAATTGCTGTCACTATAGTAACAATAGTATCTAAAATCATGCTAACATTGATTTTAGGCTGCACCAAAATGAGGGATGCCTACTGTCTAGGTCAGATCATACTTTGATACTCTAATCACAATGAAAGAAATTTTCAGAACTTTAGAAATCAGACAAAAGTTTTTGCTCCACGTTTATTTATGATCAAGTACAATGTCCAATAATATTTAGAATTAACCATTCTGCTTTCGGCCCCCTGTCAAAGGTAAGAATCAAAAGTTAAGAATAGCCCTGGACATCAGAACTGGCAGAGCTCAACTTTTAAATACATCCAAATACTGAGAAGAAAGAAAGAAAGAAAGAAAGAAAGAAAGAAAGAAAGAAAGAAAGAAAGAAAGAAAGAAAGAAAGAAGAGAAAAGAAAAAGAAGGGGGGGGGGAGGGGAGGAAGAAAGGAAGGGAGGGAGGGAGGGAGGGAGGGGAATATAAATATTACCTTTCTCAGGATACAAAGTGTGGGCCTTTGACAACTTCTAATCACAACTCTTCTCAGTCTCATATGGAGACAGAGCAATGATTTTATCCTCCAATGTATTTAAAAAGCATATATCCAAAGGGCAAGCAAACAGGATTTCTTCTGAGCATAAAGATGATTTTCAAATGTTAAATATTCTCTTTCCTCAGTGCAGACATGCAGCCTAACTTCAACAGGACCAGAAAGACTCTGGCAGTACTTGGCTCTCAATAACAAGCAATAGTCAAACTGTTAATTCCATCTGCTCCCTTCCAAAAAATGACAAAGCATTACATGGTGATGCCAGGGGTCCCAGCCTCCATTTAAGGAGTTTTCCAGAGTGGCATCCATTTCCACATATTAAGATGCTCTCTAATTTTTTTTTGAGTACTTCAAACTTGATAAGGGAACTTTAATATATATACCTGTGCAACTAATCTATAGTAACAAAAAGTAATCAGTGGTTTCCTGAGGATGAGAGGGAGAAATTACAAAGGGACATAAGGAAACTTTTGGAGGTGATGGATATGTTCGTTATTTTGATTGCAGTGATAGTTTTACAAATGAAAACCTATGTCAAACATTAAATTGCACACTTTAAATACATGTAGTTTATTACATGCCCATTATATTACAACAAAGCTGTTGAAATAAATATAATGCCTAGGTTCCACCTCAACCCCAAATTGGGATGGGCTTTCCCCTGGAGATCAAGATTCTTAAATGCTCCCCAGATAATTGTAAATGTACTGCTAGGAATGAGAACCACTGCTCTATAGCTATCATTCTCTTCCTTCTTCAGTTTTCTTGAAATGCCTCACTCAAGTATGTCTACTTTATCATCACCCATTCTTTCTCAGTCTTCCAACAACTGCCCTCTGAACCTCTACTCAGTTAAAACTGTACTTGTGGGGCGCCAGGGTGGCTCAGTCATTAAGCGTCTGCCTTCAGCTCAGGTCATGATCCCAGGATCCTGGGATCAAGTCCCGCATCGGGCTCCCTGCTCCGCAGGGAAGCCTGCTTCTCCCTCTCCCACTCCCCCTGCTTGTGTTCCCTCTCTCGCTGTGTCTCTCTCTGTCAAATCAATAAAATCTTTAAAAAAAAAAAAACAAAAAACTGTACTTGTTAAAGTCACCTTTGGAATCCTGACCAATTCCCTTGTCCCTAGAGTCCTCTCCTTACTTGACACCTCTTACAGCATCAAAATTGTTGAACCATTCCATCTCTGTTTGAAATTCTCTCCTTCCTTAGCATCTTTCTTAATGTTCCTCCTACCTTTCTAACTACTACTCTTCTCTTTCACACTATTTTTCTACCCATTTCTGCTTTTTATCACTCTGTTCTCCAGCTTTGATCATACTAAAAGCGTTCCCTGAATCATTTCAATATAACCAAATCAGTATGACCAATTGTATTGTATTCAGTATAACCAAATCAATACAGCTTCAATTCAACCCCCAATCTGCCCTGTAATCCTGATTTCCTTTACAAGTTCCATGCCCGTGGATCCAAACATCTAATTGACATCTTCACCTGAACGCTCCACAGCTTCTTCAAATTCAAAAAACCCCAAAGAGAACTTATCATCTTCCCTCCATCTTCCCTCACTTCCAATTACTAGAACCAAGTAAAATCCTCAGGGTCCTGATTCCTCCTCCTTTCTTCCCAAAGGTGACAAGACCTATCAGATTCTACCTCACTCTGCCAGGGTGAGAGTCTCAAACAAAAATTCATTAAATGGCTTCTTACTCATCACCTTCAATCCAATCCCTGTAGCCAAGGAAACCATGCCCTGGTCTGGAGCTCTACCACCCTCACTATTCTCATCTTCCACCATTTCCTTATCTAACCCCTGCATTCAAGTCATGTTAATGTCAATGTTATTATTGACTTTGTCATTGACAATGACTTCTCTAAACTGCCATAGTTTCTCATGCCTCCTTGCCTTCTCACTTATTCTCCTCTTGGAAAGTTACTAACCTCCTGCACTTGGCTAAATTATATTTCAAAACTGTACTGTGTGCTCCTGACTCTACCTCATCCAAACTGATTTAGCCATCTCCTACTCTGCAGCTCCCTTACTACACTAGGCATATCTCTATTCACATTTATTACATGGTATTATAACACTTACTTGATCTGTCTTGTACATCAGAGAGTAAATTTCTTGATGACAAGAACTATGACACTCATTTCTACCTTAGAACTTATTCAGCCTGGGACAGTGCAAAATAAATATATGTTTGACATAATTTCAATTATTTACAAAATGTAAACTTGATACCCCCAAATGGTACTGATACTAACATTTTTCAAAGATTTTTTTTTTAAAGATTTTATTTATTTATTTGAGAGAGAGAGAATGAGAGACAGAGAGCATGAGAGGGAGGAGGGTCAGAGGGAGAAGCAGACTCCCTGCTGAGCAGGGAGCCCGATGCGGGACTCGATCCCGGGACTCCAGGATCATGACCTGAGCCGAAGGCAGTCGTTTAACCAACTGAGCCACCCAGGTGCCCTCAAAGATTTTAAATATTCATTACAAAATAAATATCACACAACAGGATCCTGAATAAAACAGAGGTGACTGTATGTTTGAACTCTGTCAAAACAACACCACTCTAAGAAATGCAACCAAGGTCAGATTTCATAAAATAGAAACACAACAAAGAAAGCATAGCAGGAATAACATACTGACCTAACCAACACCTTATCTGGGTGTCTATATCCAAGTACTGTTAATGTTGATAATTAAGAGGTTTTATAATCCCTCTATGATAATAATAGTAAATCTAAAAAGAATAAAATAAGCCAAATCCAGAATTTTTTAATCTAAATATATGATAGTTTTCCCTTTAGCCACTTTATGTAAATGAATTATTTGAATAAATGACTTTAAAGCTACTATTGGCCAAGCAGATCCTAAATTTTTTCTTTCTTGCCTTTCCCTGCACTTCAAAAAAAAAAAAAAAAAAAAAAAAAAAGGTGTTTGGGACCAATATTCATCTTGTAAACCTTAAAATGTATTAACCCAAAGAAAAGATGCTTAGAAATCGGAGGGAGGGCCAGCCAGTCTGGGTGTTAGGAAAATGTTCTTATGGAAAACAACCCTCCTGGGTCTATCACATTGACTCAAGGTTACGCCGATCCTTATGGCTCTATGCAAATAAGATTTTAAAAGCTGAAAATCTCAAACTGTCAAGTGTTACATGAACCAAAGAGGTGGCATATCGGCTCCCAAAACTACTGTGTGACCCAAAGGACAAATAATTTGCAAAAGGACAGCTTGGTCCTACTGCCTATCGTACGGTCTCTGAAATTAGTAGCTAGCTGCCTGTGGAACAAACTCCCCCTACCTGGAGAGCGCGGACGCTGCCGGGCGTGTGATAGTGTATTTATCAGAGACCCGATCCTGTGCAGGATGAAACCACTAGGGCAAAATTAAAATCTTTCAGGAATGCCTAAACTCAGGGGTACAGAGCACAATTGTGCACGCTGACGGGCGGATACGCAGTTTTGCTGAAGCGTGCAAACTTGGGGTCTTTTAATGCAACCATTTTCAGACAAAACCCCGACGATTCCCGAGTACGTTAAAAATCAGCCTCGGGAGAGGAATAACTCATAGAAGGGAGCAAGCGCTGAAGAGCGGATCTCCAGTGTAATAACCAAGGAAGGAATCGTAGCCGCTTTCTGAATCTCACCGCCCTACGAGAGACACCAAAGACCCAGGCGAACGCTGCTTTTAAAAATGAGGGGGGAAGGGGGTCGACGGTGACCATTTTGGTCACTAGACTAGACGGATAGCGGTAACCTCCCTGGAGTGGGAGAGGCCAGGCCGGAGCATGAGCTGCGGCGGGATGGCGGTGGGGGGCCCCCGCAGAGGGGCTGCGTGTCCGGCCGAGGCGGCTGCACCCTGGGCACGCCCGGAGTCTGGACTGCTCCTTGCTGGGGAAGAGAAAGACCCGAGTCCAGGCGCACAAAGCTGCCGCCGCCCAGGCAGCAAACGGGCTGCGCCCAACTTCGGGGCGAGCAGCCGCCGGCCGCAGCCCGCTCACCAACCCGGCTGCTCCGGCCCCTCGGACGCCCCTAGCGCCCAGCGCCTTCTCGCGCCCACCCGCGGCGCCTCGCGAGGGAGCCGTTACCCCCAACGAAGGCGCCGCCCCGGGGACAAAGTCCTGGTCCCCTCCCCGCCGCCGCCTCGCCCCGGCTCCTCCCTGACAAAAAAGTTATCGGTCGCCGGCCACCCTGGGGGCCCGGCGTGGGTCGCTCGGTCGGACTCACCAGAGCGGCTCCCCGAGCTCCACCTCCAGAACCTCGACTTGTCTGACTCGCAGCGACAGCGACAGCGGCTGATCTGCTTTCTCCCGAGTAGCAGCACCACCTGCCCCCCTTCTTCCTAACAGAACGGGTCCCAGCGAGCCATCTTCCCCCTCTGCTCACTGACTGACAACCCAGCCCCGAGAGCCGCCACTGCCGCCAGCCACTCTGACAGGCACGGCTAGGGACCCGTCCCCAGGCAGCCAACCACCACCGCCCCACTCCGGTTCGGCCTATCGCCGTGCCCTGAGGCGGGACCAGAACAACTTCTTCACCAATAAGAACCTTCCTCTGCTAGGCCTGGGGCGGAGCCAAGAGGTGGGCGGGAGGGCGACTTGGATGGGCGTGGTCGGAGCCCTGGGCGTGGTCGGGGCGCCAAAGAGAAAATGATTGACCGTAGGATTTGCGGCAGGGCTAGTGAAGAGTGATCTGTTAGCGTCTCTCAGATCCGGAGCCAATAGGATTTACAGCCGTCTCAGAAGACAATAAGCCTTTCGGAGTGATATTAACCATAATCACGGAAGATAAACTAACATATTTTAATTTCTTGGTCAGGAGGATTTACTTCCCAGTAATTCGAGTCACAAGAATTTATTAAAATCTTAATAAATACCAGGAGGGGAAAAAAATGTACATTTTTGCAAAATGGTCATAGAAACCTCTTCCCACCTTACTATACATTGCTTTTGGCCTTGGCCTGGAAAAAGTCAAGCACAACTCCCCAACTTTCGTTCCATGGGCTGTTTTTATTTTCTCTATAGTCCCTCCCTACTCTTCTCCCAAACACATGCTAAATATTTTGTGTCGCTACCGGAACCTGAGCACATCTGAACCAGCTCCTACATATATGGTCCCTCTGTTTTTGACCTTGTCAACTCCTCCTATCATATCCGTCTCAAGTGCAGTCAGAATTAATTAGAAGAGAAATGGACTTCACCCTGGAAGACAGGAAGTCATTCTGGGTTTATCCAGAAGGGGGAAGGACTTTAAAGCAAGCGCCAAACGATCTTTTTAAACATGCCAAATACATGAATAACAAGCACATACATAAGAAAATACTTGATATCAAACAGGCTTCAAGCAAACAATTTCAGGTAACCATTAGAGCAGTCAGCATCTCCTTTCCAAGAGCATAGCCAAATTTATCAGCAAATAATAACAAAATACAGTGATAGGGCAATAGAGCTAGGTTCAATGAGCAAGGGAAACACAAAGGAAGAAATTATTGTGTTTAGGAAGGTCAAGGAATTTCACAAGAAAAGTAATGTTTGAGTTGGATCTTAAAAGGTAAATAGGAGTTTGCCAGAAAACAAAGCCAAAGGGCATTTCAGTAAAAAGGAACAGCGTGTTCAAAGGCATCGAGTTATAAAAGGGCACTGAGGGGTTGGGGAACATTGAGAAAGTGGGTGGGACTGAAGGTAAGTAGCAGCCAAAAATTAAGGTAGAGCACAAGGTTGAGATGAGATTGTAAAAGGCCTCATGAGCTACACTAAGGGATTTAGAAGAACACTGTTCAACAGAGCTTTCTGCAATGATGGAAAAGTTCTGTCTTTGTGTTGTCCGATATGATAGCCATCAGCCACTTACAACATGACATAGCTGAGGAAATTTTTTTTGTTTTTTAAAGAAAGGCAGACTGCCACCTGCAGGGCCTCATTGGGATGTGTCTGGAATCGTAGAAGCTTGACTACCCTACCTTCTCTTATAAATGGACCTTGAGAGCTTGTTTGTAGGTTCTAGCAGGGGAGCGCAGCTACTGGAAGAATGATCTTCCTCTATCAGGGCAAGCTGTCCTCTTCAACCTATGTTCCGCTTTGGGAGGGGAACACATGGAACCGTGAGGGAGGAAGGGGACACCGACCCAGCCAGACAGATCAGCCAAACCAACCCTAGCAATCAAGGGGATGACAGATGTCACAGCCAGATTGTTCTGACATCAGAAACTCACTTTTTTTTTTTTTTTTGACAGAGAGAGACACAGTGAGAGAGGGAACACAAGCAGGGGGAGTGGGAGAGGGAGAAGCAGGTCTCCCGCCGAGCAGGAGCCCGATGCGGGGCTCGATCCCAGGACCCTGGGATCACGACCTGAGCCGAAGGCAGACGCTTAACGCCTGAGCCACCCAGGCGCCCCCAGAAACTCACTTTTTTATCTAGATATAAATCACTGCCATATTGGACATCTCAGGTTTAGACCCTATTCTGCAGGCAATGAGGGACCAACAGAAGCTTTTAATCTGTGGACAACTCAATCAGCTCTCTTCCAAAGGGTGAGAATCCTAAAGACAGCGTATAGAGTGTCTGTTCTCTTTGAGGGGAATCTTGACAGATCAGACCAGGGTGCTGGCAGAATAAGTTAGGTCAGCGGGGCCAGAGCCTGGCCAGGGGAAGTGTTTGCCCAAAGGAATTAGGGACAGAAAGATCCAGAAAGTATGTTATACTCTGACATTTTAGAGAACACAAGAGGTCAAAACCTGAGAAACTGAATTTTGCCATCAAGTCCTGGCAAAATAGGGAGTAGAAGAATGAGGGGACAGAGGGGAAAAGGAAGCCAATGGGTGATCTAGAGTAAAAAATAGGAAGAGAGCAAGAACGATCAGAGTACAAGCATACAGTTAGTTTTATTGGCCCTCGGCCATGTGAGCTACTGATGCGTTGGCCTGATTTAAAGAGCCAAAGAGTTTGCTGTCAGAAAGGCACAGTAGGACCAGGGCAAGACTCCAGGAGAAACGAAGGCCTGAACCACACCTGTGGAAGTGAGGATGGGAGGGGAAATATCAACTGACTTCCTCCACTGTGCAAGACATAAAGCTTGTCAAAGATACAAAGTAATGCTAGAAGCCTAAGATAGAAGAGTAAGTAGCTGGATAACAAACATAAAAAGTGAGATGGGTGGCTCAGTCGTTAAGCGTCTGCCTTCAGCTCAGGTCATGATCCCAGAGTCCTGGGATGGAGCCCCACATCGGGCTCCCTGCTTGGTGGGAAGCCTGCTTCTCCCTCTAGGGGCGCCTGGGTGGCTCAGTCGGTAAGCGTCTGCCTTCGGCTCAGGTCATGATCTCAGGGTCCTGGGATCGAGCCCCGCCCGCATCGGGCTCCCTGCTCAGCCGGAAGCCTGCTTCTCCCTCTCCCAATCCCCCTGCTTGTGTTCCCTCTCTCGCTGTCTCTCTCTCTGTCAAGTAAATAAATAAAATCTTTAAAAAAAAAAAAAGTGAGATTCATCTACTTAAAGTAGAAGAGAAGGCATATGGTGATTTTCTAGACAATAACTGCTTTGTGAGTTCAGAAGAGGGAGCAAGACCTCTCGTCAAAGGCAGTCAGGGAAGGCTTCATGGAAAAGGTAAAAACTGAGCTGAATCTTGAAAAATGGGCAGGAATTTGAATCAGAAAAAAATGTGTGAGGAAGAAACTCTTGGAATGCCTGAAAAAGGAATAGAAGAGGGGAAGCTCAAGTAATATTCATAGGGCATGGGAGGCTACTTGAGCGGGCCAGCGCTTAACAAGCTGGGGGGGGGGGGGGCGGGAGCGGGGGGTAATAGAAAATTTGCCTTAAAGGCAAATGCAAGTGTTCAGATTCTGTCTTCTTGCCTAGTGGCTTCCTGTCTGCTCCTTAGAATTACTTAGGATGCCTTTCAAAAATACCAATGCACAAACCACACCCACACCAAATAAACCAGAAAACTGGAGGGTGGGGCCTGGAAATAGGTTTATTTTAAAAGCCTTCCAAGTGTTCTAACATACAGCCAGAGTTGAGACTTAGGAGAATGACATCATAATATTTTACTAATGCTAAATCAGGACTGTGCATAGGATGGGCTGAGTAGAGAGAGAGACTGAAGGCTGCCTATGTATACTTACATATTTGTTTCCTTTCTGCAAGAAGACCAGCAATTTTTCGCCTGACTTCACTTCCCTTTTTCTGGTGGTGAGATGATATAGAAGACAATTTAAGTTAAGTCTGCCTTCTAAGTCAGAATAAAACCAAAACACAAATTTATGTTTGCAATCCACTCTCCTTTCCATCACAATTTGTGCATATAAAAATAATTTCCAACAATAACAGTCTGCAGTTAACCATTACACATAACCATTTATATTTTAACAGCAAAGTGCCAGGAAAATGCCTGAGAAAATTCTGTTTCAAAAGGGAAATGTTTTTAAACTTCTTTATGAAAGTCAGCATATTCCAGACCCTCCCTACTCATCTTTGTTAATCTCTGATATCTGTAGGCACAATTCTATATTAACTATTAAAATGCATTTACCTTCTTGCAAATAAGCTTATTAAAATGCCAGTTGAACATTATAAAGCATGAACATTTTCCCCATAATATTAAATTTAAGGAACTTTAAGAAAGATTTAGCTCAACTATATTTCTGTTAGAGTCAGCTGGAAATTAGCTAGGTAACATGATGATTTTTTTCCAGTTTTATTGATATATAGTTGACATATAAGATTGTGTAAGTTCAAGATGTACTATGTGATGATTTAATATACATATATTATGAAATGGTTGCCACAATAACGTTAGTTAACACATCCTTCACCTCACATGGTTACCTTTTGTGTGTGTGTGTGGCGAGAACATCTGAGATCTACTCTCTCAGCAACTTTCAAGACTACAATACAGTATTGTTAACTATAGTCACCCTGCTGTACATTACAGGCCCAGAACTTATTCATCTTACAACTGGAAGTTTGTACCCTTTGACCAGCATCTCCCCGTTTTCCCCAGCCTCTAGCCTTTGACAACCACCAATCTACTCTTTGTTTCTATGTAACATGACTATTTAAAATGGAAGAGTCAGGAGAATTTTGTCTTAGGCAAAAACAAAACCATGAAAAATATATTACTTTAGTGGTATATTTTTTTTTTAAATTTTAACTCAAAACAAGAAGAATGTGCCTAAGAGGTCATTCTGTCCTGCTGTGCCAGATTACCCTTTTAAGAGAGCTACTCCAGCCAGCATCCCCAGCTGAGGCAGCAGGCTGAGACATGACCTGTGCATTTCAACCCCCTTTATAGAACCATATAACCTGAGGCAGCCAGGCCTAAAAGGTGACCCAGTAAGAATACTCCACGCAAACAGGGATGGTGGTGGCCACATATGCCCATTCTCTTTCAAGAATCCGAACTGGAAATGTGAAGAGAAAATCAGTCACCTGGTGGGAG